GCTGCCCCAGACAGACTGGAGACCCCCGAGGGCCCTCGAAAAGCAGGGGGTGGGAGGCCCGCGGCCCGAGGTCCACAGGGAAGAACACACGGGAGCCAGGGGCACGCGGCCGCGGTGGACGCTGTGCGGTTGGTCTGAGCCCGGCCTTCGCCTGGCTGTCCGCGGTTTGTTGCTAAAACAGTGTCCCCACACCTGTCGGTGCAGAGGACAGGGGCCTGGAGTGCTGACAGAGAACCGTCTGGGCCGAGCCCCCGGCGGCTCCCGGGACCTCCTGGGCTGGGGGTGCCGGCCGAGAGCCTGGCCCAGGCTGTGGGCAGCGTGAGCGCGGTGAGCGGCCCCCGTGGCCCGGGGTGCCCATGGGCAGCACCTGTGGGTGCTGGGTCCCTGGGCAGGACCTGCGTGTCAGCCGGGCCGGGCCTGAAGTCTCTGAGGCAGGGAGACAAGGGGTTAAGGCTGGGCCCGGAGCCCCCCTGCCTCTGCGGCGGGGGTTTCAAGGCTGAGTCTGTGTGACTCCCTTACTGGGAGATAATCCTCTCCCTCCCGGGTGGATCAGAACACTAGCCTGGCCATGGGAACTTCCCTCCACTCTCAAGGCCATGGCACGGGCGGCCTCCCAGGACATCTTGGCCTTCCCAGATCCTCCAGCCAGAAGAAGAATGTGGCCCCTTTGTCTGCACGACTGACCCGGCAGCCCCCACCCCAGCCATGGGGAGCCCCCTCTGCGCACCTGGACCACTGGGCCTTCACACAAGTGTGCACACGTGCCACACGCCTGTGCACATAGGGCTGGCCCCGGCAATCGCTGTTGTCCCTAACCCAGAAGCCCGGGTCTCTCTCTCACTGAGGGCCTTGGCCTCCAGGTCTGGGGAAGGATCTGTCACCTTCAGGCCGCCCCCCTTGGCAGCTACTGCCTCTACGGCCCTGAGTCTTCCAGGGCCCCCCAGCCTCCACGGCCCCTGGGGTCTCCTGGGTCCTCGGCCAACCAATCCACAGGCAGATGCTCCCCCTGAAGCCAGTTCAGTGTCCCTGAACCGAGGCCCCTCCGGGTCCCCACAAACACCAAAGGCCCCTTTGTAGAAGCCTGGGGGTCAGTTAGGTGCTGGGGATGCGGGGCTGGGCGCGGAGTCCGAAACTAGCCCCAGCCACCTCCATCAGCAGTGTTGGGGGTCAGTTAGGTCCTGGGGACGCCGCGAGTGGGCACAGAGCCTGAGACTGGCCCCAGCCACCTTCATCAGCAGTGTTGGGGGTCAGTTAAGTGCTGGGGATGCGGGGGTGGGTGCAGAGCCCGAGACTGGTCCCGGCCGCCTCCATCAGCAGTGCTCACCCCCATGGGAGGAGGAAGCAGGCCCAGAGCAGCAGGTGAGCTGAGCTTCCCAAGGACAAGAACCTGTGAAGCCCCAACCAACATCCTCCTGGCCCCAGGTGTTTCCCAAGGAACCCTCCCCATCTCCTGGTGGACAGAGAAGCCCATGACCTGGCTGGTGGGGTGGGGGCATGGGGTGGGGGCGCTATCCCCCTGGGAGCCCTCCGTTGAATGCCCCTTCACTCCTTGCCCTGGACCAAGCTGGGGCCTGGGAACGCGGCAGGAGTCCTGAGACCTCCTGCTGCAGGCAGCCTCAGATCGCAGAGAAGGCTTGCTGGAGCCCTGAGCGCTCAGCCTGGGGGTCAGAGCAAGGGCCCACAGGCAGTGCGAACAAAGGGGGGGAGCCCTGGGGGCTGAGTGTGAGCACGTGTGTGAGGACCCGTGACCTTAAAGTGGTGAAGGGGGTCCAAGGGGCCAGTGAGGAGCGCTTGGTCTCTCCTGGGGCCCGGCCTGGTGGGAGCCCAGAGAAGGCTCAGCACCGACCAGCCAGCTGCCTGGTGTGGCTGAGTGTGGGGGGGCTGGGTGGGCAGCACAGTGCCCCCAGGCTGGGGGGCTGGGGGCCGTCAGTCCAGGTGACTGCCGCTGTGGGGGTGTCCGGACACGCCCCCGCCCACCTTCTTGGCCTCTGCGTCCGCCTTCTGCCTGGACGGCCACTCCGCTGACTCGAGGGTGGAGTCGGGGGCACTTCACCCCACGTGGCTGTTACACTGGGGGACTAAGACCAACAGAACGTGCAGTGGGGGCAGAGGGGACTGTGCCTGGGGTCCTCTCGCCTCCCCTGGGGCGAGGCCAGGGTGCTCGGGCCCCCAGGGTCCTCACAGCGCCCCACAGGACAGCGGCTCTGCTTTTGCCGAAAGGCGAGAGGTGGAGCGTGCCTTTAGCTGCCGTGTTGGCTGGTTCTCTGGGGGGGGGGTCCTCTCTTTGAACAACGTGTCCTTTTCAGGGTCTGTGAGGGCACAGGACAGATGTCCAGTGTATGCATGGCCCAGAAGGACCGTGTCTCAGGTGAGCTTGCCAGAAGCATCCTTCTCTTTCCTGATTGTAGAACGCATTGCTCCGATGGAGCTGTCAGCAACACGGATGTAACCGTTCTCCCACACAAGAGCCATCGCTGTGAGCCGATGGGCTTCTGCCAGCCTGTCCTCCAGGCATCCTTTCACCGCCTTCTGCAAGTGAGCAGGTCCTGTCCAGGGCAGCCCCACCCGGCGGCAGTGGTGGGCCCCTGGAGGGCTGGAGCTGCCCCGGGGGGCACGGAGGGCCCAAGCCGCCTCGGGACAGCAGCCAGTTGCTATTCTTTCCTGTCTTTTTTCTGGGTTTTCATTTCTACTCTCGGTCAATTGCAATCTGCACTCATTTACTACCTGAATTTAATCAAAGCTTTGAGCTAAACAGGACTTCCCCGGTGGTGCAGACAGTAAAGAATCTGCCTGCAATGCAGGTGACTCAGGTTTGATCCCTGGATCCGGAAGATCCCTGGAGAAGGGAATGGCAACCCACTCCAGTATCCTCACTTGGAGAATTCCATGGACAGAAGAGCCTGGCGGACTACAGGTTGCAAAGAGTACCACCGGAAAAAAAACAAAAAAGAGTACCACTGAGTGACTAACACTTTCACTTTTTGAGCTAAACAAACTTTACCTTCTGGGTGAAGCTCTAGGTCAGTTTTTTAATATGCTTTTTATTTGAAGAGTGATTACAATACTGCGACGGTCTCATGGAAGCTGTCACCAGTTCACTTTTCACACACTTTGTGCAGCCAGGGTGCTTTTCCCCCGAAAGGTGTTTCTCACGTGTCAGAGAACACTTAATACATCCACACCACCAGACCAGCTGCTGCCCCTTCTGGCGCAGAAATGCAGCCTGGCTCGCTCTCAGCATGATGCCAGGGAGCAGGAAGCCCGGAGTTCACGTCCACCCCACCCTCCAGGATGGCTCTGTGGCATTGTGGTCAAGCACCCGTGCCCCTGCCTTCTGAGTGAGCCCTAGCCATGCGGCATCAGCAACGCCCACGAGGTCAGGCCCGCCTCCCAGGCCCAGTAGCCAGGGTCTTTGCAGCCTCAGCCTCACCCCCGACGCCCCATGCACCGCGTCTGAGCTGCAGCCCCTTGCTGTCTTCACACCTTTGCTCAAAAGTCACCCTTGCTGGGCTCCCAAGGCCCCGACTCCCATACGTCCGCCTGTTCTCACGCCCCCTCCCAGCTCTGTTTCTGGGCTCGCCCCGTCCCTGGCCCCCCTTCCGGGCAGGTGGCAGCCCCGGCCCAGCTCGCCCCCTCGGGAGGACCTTCCAGTGTAACTGAAGCCTCGGGAGCTTTGCGGCTGCATGGCCCCCGCCCCCACCCCGAGGCGCATCTACGGCAGCACGTCCAGCTCGCCGCCACCGTGGTCAGCATCGCCCCAGCGTCGGTGGCGCGCACTCGAAACCCATCTGGGAAGGAAAGGCTGCTTCAGAAACCACGGAAACAGACGAGCCAAGGTGGGGAGGGCGCCCTGGGGGCTGCGGGGGCGGCCACTGGCGTCTCTGTCTACACTGGGGCCCCGTGGCACAGTCCATGCCGCTCACCTGTGCTCACGAGGGTCCCGGCTGACATGGGAATTAGCATGAAGCCCTCTGCGCAGGAAGGTCAGGAGAGCCCCAGGCCCTCATCACAGCCTCTTGCCTTTTTAAGGGAGGTCAGCAGGGCGTGATTCTGGCCCTGGCCACACGGGGCGTGCTTGGACCAGCCCGGGGCACTCCGGGGTGGTGAGGGCGTAGCCTCGCGGGCACCTCCTTGGCGTTTCCGGAGGAGACTGGCAAGGCCCAGGGGCCGGCAGCCTCTGCCCTCCCTGACGCTGGAGCGGTGGGGGCTGCTTGCAGCTTGGATCCCACAGCGGGCAGCCCAGACCCGCCCCCAGACACACATCCTGGGGCTCCTCTCCAGGGGTGAGGGTGTGCCCAGGAGAAATCTGAAAGTTGGCCCCTCCTAGGCAACGCCCCCCTCCCCAACCCAGCCTCCACAGCCCCTCCTGGGGAAGCAGACCCTCTGCTTCAAACCCCGGGTCCCTCCAAGCCTGGGGGCTGGACCCGTGCTATGGGGCCAGGGCCACATGTCTGACTCAGGGAGGACGTGGGCTGACTCAGAGCAACTCCAAAACCGACGGAGGTTTCTGCTCTGACGCTGCTTCCTGAAATCCTGCAGGGGCCCGGGGCGTGTGCAAGTATCGGGAAGGGGGCAGTGAGTCAGTTGGGGGGGGCAGTACCCTGGATGCTGGAGCAGGAAGGCGAGAATGCCAGGACACAGGACAGATAGGACACAGCCCCCTGCCCCCCAACCTCAGCATCTCAGGGAACCCTGGCCCCCACCCCGATGCCCCCCCCCAGGGCCAGGGCCCCACATGCACTGGGGGGAGCCCGTCCTGCGGGTCCTGGCTCTGCTGACCCCCAAAGCCTCTGGAGCAAGGAGGGGTGACTGGCCATGTTGGATGACCGTGAGGTCCCCACAGGTGCCCTTCAGGAAACACAACCTCCCACCGAGCCGTTTCCGCGGGGCCCCCAGGACAGCAGGTTGGCTGACTCGCGACGCTGCCCCCACCCCGGACCCCCCAGCACACAACTGCCTGCAGATATTCCGCGTTCACAGTGACGCCGGGACAGCTCAGGGGCTCCAGGGAACCAGGCCCGTCTTCATATCCAAACTGGTCTTGGTGGGGGAGGCGGCAGGGGGATGGGGGCAGCAGGGGAACCTCAGGCCGCATTGGCTGGGCACCCGGGATGTGCAGTCAGGAGGGGCCAGGGCTCTGCTTGTGGACACGCTGGCTCGGGCCCTCCTCGGCACTCTGAGTCTGATGGACAGTGCGTGGCCACTCAGAAACACCCAGTCTAGGGGATTTCCATGTGGGCTCGGGGTTGGAGTCTGGTGGACAGGGGAGGGGGCCCTTCAGGCCCCGGAGTACCCCCTCCCCGGGGCTGGTCCCCCTGTCGCATGAGCGCTCCGATCTGCTGATCCTTCAGTTTCACCAGGTGCTCCAGCCTGGCCACCTTCATCTGCAGAACCTGCAGGAACACACACCCGAGGGACGCCTGTCCGCGCTCCTGTGGCGGGCAGCTTCAGCCCCAGGCTGAGCGTCCAGCCAGCCCCCCTGCAAGGGCCACACCATCAGCGATCAGACCAGAGGTCCTCAAACAGGCCACTCTGGGTAGAAACAACATGGGTCCCTGAAATGAGTCTGAGACCCCAGGAGAGGGAGGGGCTGCCCTAGACCCACGGAGCCTCCTGGCCGGTTCCCTCTGCAGCCCTGCCCAGCGGCTCAGCCGGGCTGGGCAGGTTCTCGGAGCAAGCCTGCCAAGGAGACAGCCTCACGTGCCGGGGTCACTTCTGAAGGGAAACGGCCAAGAACATGTCCCTGTGCAGACAGATGGTCAGGACCACCTGCCTGGCGCTCCTGCTCAGCTGTCCTCAAGCACAGCCGCTGCTCCCCAGCCTCCCCCAAGCAAGGCCAAAGTCCCCCAAGCAAACTCCCCTCCTGGAAGGAGAGTGCCCACCATGCCCCAGCAGTAAGAGTGAATAGATCTAGAAGTTCGTCTGCCCCTGAAAGCCTGTCCAGAGGACAGACGGCTCCCGCTGGCTGAGGCAGGCAGCTGGCATCTCAGACAGACCCTCCGAGGGCCCTGAGCACCAGCACACCACCGGCCTGGCCGCACTGCCCCTTGGCAGTGAGCGTGAAGGGCAGGGGCATCCCGAGGATGGGCGCCGCCTTGTGCTGCCTTGTTTCAGCTGACGCTGCAGGCTTGGACCCCGACATCCCCCCGGGTCAGCTCCGGGAAGCTGCCCCTCCGCCCCCGCATGTTTTATCTGACGTCAGTGACAGTCACGGGAACAGAACTCAACTGTGTCACCACCAAACAGCAGGTGAGCTGTCTTGCCCTCTGGGTTTCAAAAATCAAATGAAGTTGGTCCTTGATCAATGTGGTAGTGTGGGGGGCCACCAACCCCTCCCCCAAGTCAGAACCAGACGGTGTGGCCATCGGTCTGCAGCGCAGACGGCAGCACTGTGGTGCCCACCTAGTGGAAAACACTGTGCGGTTCAAACGGTGTTGCTCTGCGGCCCACAGTGGCCGTGGCTCCGTGTCAGCACAGGGCCCAGATGGGCAGGGCGTGAAGGCCGCGACAGGCCTTGCTGAGACAGGGCTTCCTCCCTGCCGCCCAGCAGATGCAAACCACAGGATGACGCCACTTTCCTGCTTCCTCAAGAAAACTGCGTCAAGATTCGCAGAGCCAGCAGGAACCGCTTTGTCATCACCATTTCTACAGCTCCTCCGACCCCGAGGCCGTGTGGCCTGCACACCCCACCCCCACTGTCTCGGGTCCAAAAATGCAGCCTGGACGCCCAACGGAGCACGTGGTGGTTGCTACACGGCAGTGACAGGACCCGAGCAGCTCCTGAACCCCGGAGTGCTGGAGACCCTCAGCGAGAGGGGGAACAGGCATACACCCCCAGAACTAGGCTTGTGCCTTAGGGAGCTGCCTTCTGCTCCCCGACTGGGCCCCAGGGCCCTCAAGCCTGCCGTCCAATATGTCCGGGTACCAAGGCCTGTGAGTCTGCAGCCCCCGACTCGTGGTCTCTGGTGTCTGATGACAGGCAAGGCTGGGTGGTCAGTCTCCGAGGGGTGGAGGCCCACTGTACTCTCCCTCTGCTTCTGGGTATCTCTGGGATGTGCTCACGGGCTCCCCCGGTCAGGGGCCCTGCCTGGCCGCCCCCCGCCTCACCACATGCTGGTCCAAGCTGCCTGGAGGGACGGCCAGGCCTGTACCTTGATGGTCTCCTGCAGGACTGCCAGCGCCTGCTCCTTTTCTTCCAGCAGCCGCTGCGGCAGCCCAGGGTCCAGGTGGTGCCAGGGCTCCCCGGCTGGGCAACTGAAAGGTAGACACCGGCCTTTAGCGCGCGGGTGGGCGGGCCAGTGGGGGGGTTGCAGAGAGTTCGATCCGGAGCCCACCCTCTGCATGCATAGTGGCCCATCTTCTCCGGAGCTCTCTGACTCCAGTGGGTCTCCACCCCAGAGCGCGCCAAGGGGCTCCGCAGGCCTGTGAGACCATGGGACGCGTCAGCTCCGGCCTTCAGTGCGGGCGGCCCGGCCGGGCCTGAGCTGGTCTGCAGGCAAAGCCCGCCACACCTCTGAACGGCTTCCTCATTCGGAGAAGCCACCCCTGAACCTGAACGACGGCCATTTCACGTGGCCTGTGGGCAGGGCCCCTTGCGGGGGTGACGGAAGCGGGGCTCCCTGAGCGAGGCGCGCCTCGCCCGCTGGGTGTCGCCCCAGTGGGGGACAGGGCGGTCTGCTGGGCGCAGGGCCCCACACGGGGTGGGGGTTGGGGGGCGGTCTGGACACCCCCAGCCCGTGCAGGGGAGGCGAGCCCCACCCACCAGCGTCACCACTGGAGCGTCCTGCTTCCTGCAAGGGGCTCCAGCGTTGGGCCCTGAGACTCCCAGGAGGGGCTGACCCAATCCTTGTCCGCAGGCCTGCGGGCGTCTCCCCGTCACAGACGGGCAGGGGGACGGGCTCCCTGGAGGAGGCAGCACGGCCTGGACCTGAGCGCTTCTGAAAAGGGATGCAGGCGGGTCGGGCACAGGGATACAGGGCTTCGTCCCCACTTACTTCCTGGTTTTACTCTCATCGGCAGGCAACAAGCCCGCATCCCAACACAGCAGAGGCCGTGGCCACGCGACGGTACCCACGTGTCCAGCCGTGCCGGGTGGGTCCTCACCGGCCTCCACCTTGTCCCTCACTGCACACAGGATGGGCTCAACGGCCCCAGGGGTGTTGACGACCACCTTTCGGATCTCTTCCTCTGAGACACTGAGACCCAGCTTGTGGAAGACTTTCCTGCAGAGGCAGCGGGTGCAGCCCTGAGACCAGAGGCCCAGTGGGGACACTCACCTTGTGCAGAGCCGCTGGACTGGGGTGCCTTCCGGCCCCTGTACCCACAGAGGCCCGGGGCCATCTCTTTCCCAGTCACCCCCCGCAGGTCATGGGACACAGTGGGTTGTGTCTTCAGGTCAGCTGAGTCCCAGGCTCACTGCCGCCTCCCTAGGTAGCACTCATCTTCCTGAGGCTCCTCTGCTCTCTGCAGGTGTCCTGTGCGTTCACCTCCAAAGTGCTCAGAGCCTGACCTCTCGCACGTCTGCCTGCAGCTGCCATTCTCTCCAGGCTTTGGGGGTGGGGGCAGCCGCCCACCCCGCTTCCGTCTCCCCCAGTCTCTCTCCCCTCCGAGTAAGTCCCACCAGAACCTGCCAGGCCTCAAGCCAGCTAAGACACTGTCCCCTCGGGCAGTGTCCTGCAAGGGCCCTGGGTGGCTCAGCAGCGCTCCCCACTGCAGCCTCGCATAAGACCCAAGTCCCCCCCTCAGGCTGCTCGCTTTCACTTCCTGTGGTCCTGCCTCAGTGTCCTCACGAGACTCGTCACAACTGATACTGGCCCCATCTCCTCATTTATCCGTCTTCCCTCTCGACTCGCTGGGCCCACTGACTGCCGTGTCTGCTGGGCCTGAGCAGTCTGTCACCCAGAATTTTTGGTGGGTGAGTGCATGAGAGGCGAGGTCAGTGGGCAGAATAATGCGCTGCAGAGCGTGTGTCATGCTGACTGTTGCTGGCCTCTTGGCGGGGAGCCCCCAGGAGCCTCAAGTGGAACTGGACAGAGTATCAGGGAAGCCCACGCAGGGACACAGCCTGAGAACCTGTCCCCGGGGTGGAGGCCACCCATGCAGGCCAGCCTTGGGGTGCGAGGAGTGGGCCCAGCAGGGAAGGCAGGGCGGAAAGCCCCGCTTGGAGCCCTGCCTGTTGAGAACGTTCCAGTTGCTGCGCTTCTGGCCAGTGTTGCAGGTGGGGACGTAGTTGTGCAGGTCCACTATCCGGGGGCGAAAGAGCTTCACGACCTCCGCCAGCATCACTGGGGTGAGGCGGGCAGGGTCGCAGGTGAGCCGAGGGGCCCCGGATTTTTGCATCATTCGTCCCCCAGGGCCTCCACATGGAGGATAGAGAGGGGTCCCGGGGAGTCCCCGCAGGGTGTGGGCGCCCCGGCGGGAGGACCGTGAGGGCCGGCGGGCTCCGAGGAGCTGCTAGGGGACCCCCGGGCAGGCGGGGGTGGGGCGTGAGGAACTCCTGGGCCCCCACCCCGCTTGCCGCCCCACTCCTCCTCCCAGGGCCATCTAGGCAGCGGCCCTCCTGCCCCTTCCCGGGGGCCTTCACGTCACGGCTTCGCAGGGAGCCCAGGGCGCGGAGACCTTGCCCGGGCCGCGGCCTTTGCCTGGCCGTCCCGCCAATCAGGCCCCGGGGCTCCCTCTGGCCGAGGAGGACGAGCGCTGGGCTCTCGGCCTGGACCCCTGGGCAGGCCCCCCGGCCCCCGGCCCCTCACCGCCGTCACTAAAGTCCCGGGCCAGGTGGCGCTTGCGGCGGCTTAGCGGCAGCGCGTCCAGCCAGGCGTAGAGGCCGTGGAGGGCGCCGGGCGGCAGCGGCGGCGGGGCCGGGGGGCGCGGCCGGGCTGTGTTCAGCATGGCAGCGCCCGGCGCGGCGCGGCACGACACGGCCGGCTGTTGGGCAGTTGCCGGGAGACGACGCCGGAAGCGCCTGTGGGCCCGGAATTCCGGGCGGGGTCGGCAGGGCCGCGACCGGAAGGGCGGGGCGCGCAGGTGAGGGCGCGGCCACGCTGGGCGCCAGCTGGAGGCCCGGGATGGGGAGCGAAAGTCAGACCCGACGCAGTGAGGTTGGGGGTCCCCGAGACGGTGAAGGGCCGGGAAGCCCGGCGCGCTGCCGTCCAGGGGGCGCAGAGTCGGACGCGACTGAGCGACTGAACAACGTTGACAGTAGGCTTCTATTTTAACAAGCGTTGAACTCTTAGGTCTTATAAATTAAATTCCATTGTTTCGCATGCAACACTTTACACTCATCTAGTAAAAACTTCCCGTCATTTAAAACTTGATCAATAAGTTAATCGTAAAATATAAACATTTTATTAAATTTTTGAGCCCTGCTAAATGTGCACCTGAGATTTTTGAGCCCTGCTAAATGTGCACCTGAGGTTTTCAGGTACCAGATAAGACACCAGTGGCGGTCTGAAGACACGCGGTGGAGGAGGGGCTGGCCTCCCCCAACCTCCTTCCCCAGGTCAGGACAGCAGCCGATGGCCCAGCTGGGAGTCCTGGGCCCAGCCAGGGAGTCCCGGGTCCGGAGGCGCTAGGCTGTGACCTTGAGACACGGAAGCGTGGTCTTGGCCCTGGGGAGCTGGCTCTTCTCTTAGGACAGTTCAGAGAGGACTCAGCCCCTGAGCGGGTGGAGGGCCTGGGGCCAGGCGGCTGCATCTCGCTGCTGCTGGCGAGGTCACGGGACCACACCCCTCAGGGTGCTTTGAGCTTGGGCCCCATCACCTCCTCTGGACAGGGGGTTTCAGAGCAACCTTGGGGAAGAAAAATGATAGTAAAGACCATCTGCTACAAAGCGCACAACTGAATCTAACTTCCTTTTACTTTTCTTAAAATTTGGATCCTCATTTCATCAAAAACATGACTGTGCTCAGAGCGGCGACAGCCCTGGATATTAACAGCTGATGCTTTATCAAGTCTATTCTCTATCCAAAAGCAGTAGACTTCTGTACTTAAACCAGTGCAGAAAAAGATGTTAGCAGCCAGAAGCAGCAGTAAGCATTGAAAAGTCCTCTGACAGAGTGCAGAGCAGAGGTTATGGCCTCCCCTGGGGAAGCGAGTTCGCTCTGCCCCAGCCGGTGGGCGCTGCTCTGGCAGTGAGGGCCTCACCTGAGTGGGTCCAGGCTGGGCCCCTCTCACTCCAGGCTTGACGGGTGGCACCGGGGGAGCGCAGGTCGGCTTGATGACCTGGAAGGACGGAGACACAGCTGATGGCCGGCAGTGCCCGGGCACTGTCTGCCCAGCACTTCTAGAAAGTTCCCTGGGTGCTGGGCTCAGCCTCGGACTGGCCTGCAGGCTTCTCTGTGCTGAGCGCTCTCTGCAGAAAATTGCCTTGACACCGCCCCACCCTGGCTGGTACCACCCTTGAATGAAACCCAAACATGGCAGGACACCATTCCTGGGCCTGTCGGATTACCTCACCACCCTGCCCTCTCCCTTAACTCCCCACCTCACCCCAACATTACCCAGGAAAAGTTCTTAAATTGCCAGAATGTGGGTCTTTGGAAGGTCTAAAACCAAGGATTCGCCACTAAAATGTGCGTTTGTTTGCATTTCAGCTTTCCAGGGGCAATCTTGGCTGGGGTGGGGAAGGAAGGTCTCTAGCAGGAGTCCTGCTCAGCCCAGGCCAGGGTGGGGTGCAGCCCAGCACCCAGAGGGCCCTGCTGAGTGGGGCTGGGGCGGCCTGCACTTTCTTCTCCAGCACAGTTCCCTGGCTGCCCCCACTTCCTGGACCGGAAATGTTTGCCCAACCCCTGTCCTTGTTTGGCCTGTCAAAACCCCTCCTAAAACTTTAATTAAAGACTTTTTTTTTGTAACTTTACTATAATTCTAAAATTAACTCAAAATAAAAAGTAAAAAAGAAAAGAGAAATAGGGAATCTTCATTGAATAAATACTGCAGTAACGGTTGTCCCAGGAGAGATCCACCCACAGAGGCCCCATGGGTTAGCTTGAGGAGGAACCAGGCTGGCATCTCTCCAAGCACCTCCAAGCTTTGACCACAAGGGGAAGAGGGCCCTAACAGTGATTTCAAGTCCCCACAGACACCACTGCAACCAGTGATGACTCCACACCACCGGGGACAGACAGGCTGACACGGGGCCCATGGGACGCCTGGTGGGTGAAGCCGTGCCCCAGGAGGGGAGAGAAAGCCTGGTCTTCCAGGCCTCACCGTCTGTCAGAGTGGGGGAGCCCCCGCCTGCGGGGAGGTGAGAGTGTGTCCAGGAGTGTGTGGGGCCCTCAGCAGTGCTCCCAGCAATGGAGGCGACCCAGCAGAGCCGGACCTCACGGTGGGCAGAAGGGCCTCCCACACGCGCCCCAAGGCAGAGGGCCTGCTGGGGCGCCAGTGCCTCGCGTCTGGGAGGGATGGTTCCCAAACTGCAGAAGCCTCAGAAGGATGGAGTGGAGCCCACAGCGCCCCTGAGCTCCTCCCCCACGGCCCTCTCACCTGCTTTGGCTTCAGCACCGCAAGGGGCTTGGCGGGAGGAGCAGGTCTGAGCTGCTGGGAGTGGGGAGGAGTGGTCAGAACCCCCAGGCCTCGCTGGGTGCTGTTCCTGTCCTCGCTGCGCTGCGAGACTGGGCGCCTGGCCCGCCAGGCACAGCCACAGACCCTCCTCCCCTGGGGCCCGCCCTGCGCCCCCTCCCTGCTCACCTGGCCCGGGGCCTGCGGGGGGTACACAGGAAGAGGGGACGGCGGGCTGGCCAGGGCGGCTGGAGGCTGAAGGGAGCAGGTGTGAGCCTGGGTCTCCCAGGGCAACCGCCCCCAGAGAGGCCTGGCTCAGAGCTGCTTCCCACCCGCTGAGGACCCGAGGTTCTGGCCCCTCCCAGAGTGGGGAGGAGGCCCCAGGTGTGTGCACTGCGGGGGTCCCCCATCCTGCTCCGCACTGGGCAGGGCCTGAGCCATGACCCCCTCCCCCAGCCTTGGGTCCACATGGAGGTGCTGGGCAGCATCCTGGGATGGACGCTGCGGAGGCTTGAGCCTCAGGTTTGAGTCTGCTCCGGGCTCAGGTGGGTGCTCAGACCCCTCGTCCTAGAGCCTTGGTTTCGCCTGCAGACGGTGGTCACTCTAAGGCCCATGGACCTGAGATTTGGGGGTAGCCAGGAGTCTGTTGGGATGGCTGGCGCTTACGGCAGGGGGTGGTCGCTTAGAGATCACTGAGGAATCTGTGGGCTTGGGGGGCTGGGAGGGAGGGGCCGGCTCTAGGGGGCCCCTGGGGGGAGCCTGAGCCCCGCCTTTCGCAGGTTTGCTGAGCCCTTCGTGGAACAGGGGGTTGGAGAGCCCTATGGCAGTCTTGGGTGCCACGTTCCTAGGAGAAATAAGACGGGTCAGTGCATTTTATTGTGAATCCCTTAGGATTCAGCCCAGGGAATTGAGGCTCCCGGGCATGGGGACCCTGGCCCAGCCCCAGATCGCTCAGCTGCAACCGCCCCAGGGGGTGTGCGGGCCACAGCCACACAGGGAGAGCTCTGGGGTCAGGCCAGGCCCGGGGCAGGGGGACTTGGAGTCCACTGGCAAGCGTGTCCTACTGCAGCCAGCACGAGGCGAGGTCCCCATACAGCAGGCTCAAGAGTGCAGTGTCACCCCCGGGCGGTGGACCGGTGCTGTCTTCTCTGAGCTTCCTCGTCACCAACCTGTCCCCACAGCCCAACCTGCTCCCACGGCAGAAGGCAGGGGCCCAGGGCAGGGCCGCCAGCATGGGGTCCCCTCTCCCTGCAACAGCGCCAGCAGGCGACTGGCCGTGCACACGCTGACGTCCTGCGAGCCCAGAGCACAGCTCCCCCACCTCCTTCGGACTGGGCTCCGGGCCTTGCAGTAGATGAGAACGCCCACCAGGATCAGCACCAGCACCACCAGGGCGCCCACGCCCGCCAGCACATGTGTTCGGAGGCTCCCAGGGGCTGTGGGAGCACAGAAGGCCAGGCATTACTAGGGCCGGACCTGGCTCAAGGCAGCAGGGACCGGCAGGGCCCGCCGGCAACTCAGCCCTTGCCAGGCCAGCCCGGAGCTGAGGAGCGGCGAGGAGGGGACCACCTCCTCAGCGAAGCCGACAGCCAGAGCCCTGGCCACACACCCCCACAGCCCAGACCTGTCTGAGGTGCTGAGACCCGGTACGTGACCCCGGCACTCTGGGCTCTCAGGGGACCAGTCGGGGGCTTGGTGGCGGGCGGCCCTCGGCCCTGGTGATGCAGGCGTGGCTGGGCCAGGCCCCGGCTGCCGCAGGTCTGTGCATGGCCTTGTGTTCAGTGGGGGACAGTGTGGGGCTGGGAGGCCAGTGTCCCGGGCCCAGGGCGGGTTAAGGCTCCAGCAAGGAGCAGCCCGTGCCGCCTGCAGCCCTCCTTCTGGGACAGGCCTCCCTCCCTGGGGAGGGCCGCCCTGGACTTGGGTCAGGCTGCAAGGCCACACCTCCCACAGGCCCCGCATGGCTCAGGGGCACACAGCCTCCTCCCAGCCCTGCCCAGGACCCCTGACCAGACCCCGTCAGGCTTGAGAACGCGTGAGGGGGCACCCAGGTGCGGGGGCCGAGCCTACCTGCGTGCGTGTCGGACAGCAGCTCTGCACAGTAGGGCGGGGCCCAGCCCGGGTGGCAGTGGCACTGGCCCTTGTGGTTGCACTCCTGGGGGACAGCCGGGAATCAGGGCCTCTGGACCTCCATGCGCTGTGCTGCCTGAGCCCCCCGACAGAGGATGGGTGGGGTGTCTGGGACCACCACCACCAAGGTTTCATCACAGGTGCCGAGAGCTGCAGCCCTACCAGACACTGTGGGGCTTTCTGAGCAAAGCAGGCATCGCCGCAGGAGGCAGGGCGGTCTGACAGTGGGCTGTCCTCCCCAGGAAGGAACACAGGAGGGCACAGCCCCGGAGCCCTGGCCTTCCCAGTGTCAGAGCTCAGAACCAGATGCTTCACACCTGACTATCCTGCCCACGTGCCCACCGGCTCTGACACCCAGGAGATCCCCGACAGTCCCCGCCTCGGGAGGTCCCGGCAGCTCCCGACGTCCCAAGGGCACCAGCCTTGGCCCTGTGTCTGCCTTGGGGCGGGGGCCAAGCATGGCCGGCGCATATGTCAAGCCCAGAGGACTTGGTGGGCTGTGCCCTGGGCCCACGTACCCCGTGGCCGTTGCACCGGGCAGAGCAGTTCCTGGATCTGTACACGTGCAGGTCCTGGCAGAAGCCATCCCAGCAAACCTGGAGGGCGGCGGGGTCTCCTGAGAAGGCCAGTCTAGACCCCTGCTCGAAGCACCCACTCTCCACCGTCAGCCAGACCCGCCCCCCAACTTGCATCTGGGCTCTGGGGGGCAGGCCATGGCCCCCACCCTCTCGACGGCCCCGCCTGCAGGTCATCTGCTGGCCAACCTTGGCCGTGGGGAAGGACCGTGCCCAGCCAGCCATCTGCGGCCACCAGGGCCAGAGGACCCCCCCAGCCCACCCCCAGAGCCCGCAGACCGTCTTCAAATCTGCTCACTGACGGGGGGCTTCTCCCGCAACCCTGTGCGCCTTCTGACTCTCTACCCGGGGCAGAGCGCTCCAGCAGCCGCCAAGGCCCTGCTCTGGGCCCTGCAAGCTCGCCCCGAGCCCAGCGGCCTGACAGGGAGGTGTGTCCGGCCCACCTGCTCCTCACCGCACTTGGTGCCCTTGGGCACCGGCTCATACGCGGTGCTGCCGTCCTGGACGGCAGCCCAGCAAACGCCTGAGGAGGTGGTGAGGCTGCAGTATCCGCGATCCGGGGGCTCCTGCCCCGCCTCGCAGAAGAGAGTGCCGCACCTGTTGACCCTGGGGACAGAGGGACGAGCGTGGGGCCGCTCTGCGGGGCCTCCTGCTCCAGGCTCAGCACGCCAGGAGCTCTGAGGCCACAGGCATCCACACCCCAGCCCCAGGGGCCCACCCTCCTACAAGGGCAGCACCTGAGGGTCCCGCAGGGCAGGATGGCCCCCTCCACCCCTGCCATCCGAGAGGCCCCGACTCAGCCCCAGACTCCTTTGTGTAGAGGACCTTCTTGTGGCCCCAGGGAGGGGGACATCCCGGTCCCTGGCCCTAGGGGAGCTGGGCCACGAGGGACGCTCACCTGCCGGACTGCAGGGGGACCCCAGCCCGACAGCCTTCGGAGATGCTGTAGCGGAAGCAAGTCTCCACAGCCACCCGCGAGCCTGAAGGCAGGAGTGGGTCAGTCCTCTGGCTTGGGACCCGCTGCCACCCTCGCCTCCCTGACGGTCCTGTGGCTGTGCCCGCCTCACCTGGCCCCCACAAGTCCTGGCAGCGCCGGGCCAACGTCGGGCAGGCCCCGTTGTAGCAGTAGCCCCCCGGGCAGGGCATGCCGTTCTCCCTGAAGGCGTCCTCGGGGCATGTGGGCCACCGGCCGTCACAGTGCTCGCCGAGGTCACACTGGTCCTTCGCGGGGCGGCACGGCTCTCCAGCCGGCTTCACCTGGTTCCAGGGAGCCAAGATCACCATGGGAACGGGAGGCCCCCAGCCTGCACGCCTGCCCTGAGCCCAAGCCCCAGGCTCACCCTGCACTCGTGGCAGCAGGCGCCATGGGCGCACTCAGCCCCCTCGGCCAGAAGGCATGTGCTGGCGTTGCAGCAGCGATTCTGACAGTCCTAGGGGCAGGGGCGACAGCGAAGGTCTGAGTGGGCTGCACGCCGGGCCCCCCGCCCCCGCCATGGGAAGACTGGTCACTCCCACCCAGCAGCCTTGCCGGTCGTTTTGGGAAGCATGGCCGTGAGTGCGCAGGGCACCCAGGGGTCAGGAACAGACGCCCAGCCTGCAGAGGCGGACTTGGCCCACAAGCACAGACAGCGGAGGGCGGCGGTGTTGGGCCCTGTACCTCCGGGTGGCCACAGTCACACTGCTCCCCGCGCTCCAGGAACCCGTTTCCGCACACAGGGCCGCCCACCAGCCGGGCAAGGTCCGGGGTGTCCACCAGGCAGGCCGTGCGGGGCTTCTCCACGAACGTCTCCAGGTCGGCCCGGCTGCACTGACTGAACTTCCTGGGGTACCGGGAGCTGTGGGGGGGGGCCCTTCCAGTTATCAGGAGGGCTCCCTGGGGTACCAGGAGCTGGTGGGCGTCCCTGTTATCAGGAGGGTGGGTGGAGCCGGCTCTGCTCACTGACAGCACCTCCCAGCCCCGGGCCCTGGGCCAGGCTGGACCGCCGAGCCTCACCCGATGCTGGCCGCCATCACGCAGCCGCCGCCCTCCCGCGGCACCGGGCAGTAGCAGCCGGCGACATTCTCGTCGTGGTCCATGCCCAGGTTGTGGCCCATCTCGTGGGCCATGGTGCTCGCCACACCGATGGGATTCGGGCTGTGGTCCTGCGGGGGGGCATCCTGGCTGGGGTTGCTCCCAGGGCGGATGCCCCACCTCACTGCCCACTCCTCCCCCACTGTCCACCCCAGGGAGGCTGAGGGCCTTGGCGGTCCTCCCGCCAACGTCACTTTTCAAATAGTAGATATACGGCAATATTATTACAAATAACAGTAACAGTGTCAGTGCTGCTCAGCCTGCCAGAGCGCAGCAGGGGGCGGAATGCTGGACCTGAGTGCCCTGCCCCCCGCCCCCACATGCTCTGCACCAAACCCCAGGCCTCGTGACCACCCCTGCCCCCCGGGCCAGCTACAGCCTCGGTCCAGCACACCCGTGCAGAACCCCGCACCTGGTTTACAGCCCCCGAGTTCTGGGAGCACATGGCAGACACCTTGGCCAGTCCCACAGTGGTCCCGGTGAAGTCGACCCCGCTAGGAAGGAGAGCAGTGTCGGTCGGGGCCACCCCGAGCCCGCGCCCCAGGCCCCTCCCCGAGGGGTGGTGTGGCCCCCCCCCCAGCTCGCTCACGTGATGAGCTGCACGTTGTCGTGAGCCTCCCGGCCCACCAGCTCTCGAGTTCTCCAGGCCAGGAAGCTGTCCAGTGTGGCTTCGGGCTGGGAGCTGACCTGAATTTTGTCCCCACCATTCCACATCTCCAGGCCCACGAGCACCACGCGGAAATTGAGCTCCTGATAGAGCTGCCAGAGGACAGGGAACCGCGAGGGCCAGGCTCGGTGGTGAGGCTGGCGGAGGGCCTGAAGCCCCTCAGTGTCCACTATGATGCGAGGGGTCTCGAGGGCTGGGGCAGGGTCCCGGCTCCCCCTTTCCCCTGGCGGGTGGCTCTACCTGCAGCCAGCCCACCACCACGGGCGCCCCAACCCTCCACTCCATCGGGGTTTGTCAGGCTGGGCGTCAGCTGCCCAGGGGTCCCGGCGGCCCTTGCTGGAAGCCCCCAGGGCGGAAGTAGCGCCCACCTTGTCCACGTGGTTGACCACCTCCAGCACCCGCTGACGCACGGCCTCTCTGCTCCCAAACCGCTGGAACTGGAGGACGGCAGACCCTCAGCGGCAGCCTGGGGTCCCACACCCCTGCACCCCACCCCAAGTACCTCCGTGCTGTCCGTGACCACGAACAGCTCCACGTAGCGGGTCTCTCTGGGTTCTGACCACTTTTGAAAAGCGGTGACAAGAATCCGGTCAGCCACCAGCCACAGCCCTCCTGTCCTCAGCCTGTCTGCACATGCTGACCATCTCCCGGGCCCTAGAGCTGGCGCCCGCTCCCACCAGCGCTGGGTGAGCCGTCAGGGGTTGGGGACTCTGCCGCCGCAGGGCGGAGCCAGGCGCAGGCCCACCCCTCCCTCACTTAGCAGCCAGCAGCCTGGGGGTGCGCAGGCCCAAGCAGAGCAGCAAGAAGCGTTGGGCCTCCACTCACCCGGGGTCTGAGGGCTGCAGATACTCGCGGCCCCAGGATGCTCTCCAGGCTGCTGTCGTTGACGCCGCAGGTGCCAGCCTCCTGCTGCAGGTGCTGTGCCAGGTACAGGGCGTGTGGTCCTTCTTCCCCAGCCCCCGCCAGGGGCTCGATCAGGTGGATGACGGGGCCCGCCTGGAAGAAGCCCCTGAGGCAGAGGCGAGCGTGGCTCTGAGGCTGTGGCCCCAGGGACCCCTCTGCCGCGCCCAGCCGACCCCTTCCTCCTGGGCCCCGCTCACTCCTCTGGAAGGCGAGGGGCGCCCGGCCTGCAGCACCCACCTGAGGCCGGCACAGGTGCTGAGGCTGGCGGCCGAGTGTGGGTGCCCCTCCACGTGGCCCTGGTAGAAGCAGTGGTCCTGCGGGAGGAGGGTGTGAGGACCCCGCTCCCGCGCCCGGCTCCCCGCGCCCGCTGCTGGCCCAGGGCAGGAGCACTAGGGCCGTACCTGTCTCTGCAGCTGCTCTGTCACCTGGGAGCCATTGGCGGCTGTGTAGGTCTCTGTGTAGCCCGAGCCCACCAGGTCCCTGGAAAAGAGCCACCGTGGTGCCCTGGCCGCCCCTGGTACAGAGGAGAGGCTGGAGATGGCGCGGGGCGGGTGGGGGAAGGGTGGGCCCTCACCTGTTCTTCCGAAGGTGCAGGGTGAAGGTGTGCCCTCGGGCCCCCAGGATGTAGCTCACACTCTCTGGGTACAGGCCCTGGGCAGAGGGCAGGGAGGGGTCCAGGGTGAGGCCCTGCCTGGCCACGCTCACCTCTAACCTGGAGGGGTGGCGGGTCTTGGGCTGTACCCAGGGGTGGGGCAGGCTGGCAGCTCCACCCAGAGCTGGGCCTCAGGCCTCCAGGAGAGGACAGTGCCCCTCCCAGGCCACGTGTGGGAGGGGGACCCCGGCCCGGAGAGAGGACGCGGGGCCGGGCTGCCCTCCCTGCTCCAGCGGACTTGCTCCGGCGAAGCCCTGCCCCTTCCAGCCCCGGCCGACCGGAAGGGCGCATCCAGGCTGCAGCTGACGCCCCCCGCCCCCCCTCCCCGCCCCCGGACTGTGTGCAGGGCGCCTGCAGAGGGGGCTGGGGGCCCAGGGCAGTGGGCGGCTCCTCCTGGGACAGGGAGGTCAGGTCAGGGCCTCTCCACCCTCACAAGCAAGAATGCCCCCAGGCAGCCCCGGGGAATCCCAGCCCGGCCCCGCCTGTGGAGCCACCCCACGTCTCAGAGTGAAACCGGGCCGGCTGGCGGGCTCCAGAAAGGAAGACGGGGCTGCGCCAGCAGCCAGCCAAGACCACCCAAGGTTAGGGTTAGGAACCCTAACCCAAGGTGGCCCTGCCTCCGGGGTGAGCAGGACGGAAGAAGGTGAGGTCTGGGAGCGGGCGGGGCGGGTGGGGGCAGGCAGGCTGCTTGGGCGTAGGTGAGCTCCTAGGAGTCTGCCCAAAGGCCTGGAAGCCCCCGGCCCTCAGCCCCCTTACTACGATTGGGGCACACAGGGAGCTGTCACTCTGCTCAGAGTCGGAAACAGACTCTGAGGGCCCAGGTTGGGGCGGGTGGGGGGGACCCCCAGGCCAGCGTCCCGCCGAGACTTACCAGGCGGGAGGGCAGATCCCGCCGAGCGCGGGCTGCAGGCAGGCGCCGGGGCTGCACCACCTCGTACTGCTCCACGTGGGGCAGGGCGGCCCCCGGGGCGACCTCTGCGGGAAAGGGGGGTCAGCAGTGCACAGCACACCCTCCCACCCCGGGAATCCCTTCCCAGCCTGCCGTGCACGGCCCCTTCTCTGGGGGAATCACCGCAGACCCTGAGGTCTGGCTCCCCAGCCCGAGTGGGGGCCCTGCCTTAAAGAGACCACAGGACCCCCACCCGGGCAGTGCCCAGAGGCACTGCCCAGCACCAGCCTGTCTAGGAGCTTACCAGCTGCCACCTGGAGCCCAGGGTGGCCTGGATACCACCCCCCTCTTAGGGGTCAGGACGCACACAGGCCCTGGGGGGTGGGGGGAAGCGGGTTTGCCCGCCCAGCACTCAGAGCTGACGCTTTTCATCTCCATAATCACACAACTGCATCTAAAGGCAGAGCGAGAGCCCTCTTCCGCAGGATTCACCCAGCCTGGAGCTAGAAGCTGCCCTGTACCCGACCAGACAGTCCAGACCCAGAACTGACCACCGGCCTCACCCCTGAGAGTCTTCCTCTTGCCAGTGTTAGTGGTCGTGCCCCCGTTACACCGTCTGGCAAAGCTCCAGGACTGAGAGGTCGAGGGGAGGGCGCCTGCCTAGGAAGTGCCCTCACCCCAGAACCCCAGGAGGCTCTTGGGAGCCAGGGTGGGGGTAAAGGCTAGCAGCATGGCCAGCACCCCCAAAGAGAGGCAGGTCCCCAGGTGGCCGGGAAATTCCGCGGGGTGTCCCCGCCCCCCCAGCTCCAGGTCACCGCTCCTCATCCTCCCTTCCTCGCCAGGCTGGGGGGTCCCAGCAGAGGTGGGCAGTCGCCCCCAAGCCCTGGAATGGAGCGGGGGCAGCCGGCCCTTCACGCTGAACCTCCGGCAAGGCCCTCCTTCAGCGCAGGAAACGCCCAGGTGACCGTTTACCCACACAGTTCCCTTTTGCAGGTTCCCTGCGTCCACCGCCCGGGCCTCCCCGCTGACTGGCCGACTCCCCAAGACGAGCCCAGAGTTCCGCCCAGGGAGCCGCGGGCGGCGGTGCAGGCAGAGCGGTCCCGCTCTCACTCACCCTGCAGCCCCAGCGCGGCGAGCAGCAGGAGCCCAAGGCTGCGCATGGCGGGGATCCGGCGGGCGTGGGGCGCGCGCCGGCCTTCTGGGGGCCGAGCGCAGGTATCCGGGGTCCGGGAATGGTGGTGAGAACAGGTACCGCCACTGCTGCGCCTACACTGAGGTTCGTCTTGCGCTGGAGTCAGGCTCGTTCCCGCGCGCCCCACCCGCAGCGACCAGCCCCCCGGTCGCGGCCAATCAGCGCCTCGGGTACCGGGAGGGGCGGGGCCCCCACCGCCTCCCAGGTCTCCCTGTAGTCCCCTGGGTTCCCGTCAGCGACCATAGCCAGTGCTCAGCACTGGGAAGTTTCCTAAATGTGAGCAGAATTAACCTGGGTCAGGTGGTCGGACTAACACGAGTCACCCTGCAACGCTGCGTCCCCCAGGCGCGTGAGGGACAGGCCGGGACTGCCAGGTGCCTGCTGGGATGGTGGAAGTAACTGGGAAGGGCTGTGTGTGTGTGCGTGGGGGGGGGGTCTCTTGGGAGGGCATTCCCTCCAGCTTCCTGGGAACAGGAAGCCCCAGCGGCCCCCTGGGCAGCCCTGCGCCCAGGCCCTGAGGCCTCACCAGGGAGCCTGGCACGGGGCGCACCCAGGGGCAGCTGCTTCACTCAGGGCACAGACCCTGCACTATGGAGGGTGCATGCGAGGCTGCCTGCCCGGTGGGCGGCCCAGTAGTGGACCGCGGTGCCAGTGCCCTGCATGGTGGCTGGAGGCAGCCTGCCCGCAGGCGGCTCCCCTGGTTTCTGCCAGTCCTGCCCTCCCCTGTCCTGCAGGGCGGGGCTGCCCCCCTTTGGCCTCGTACCCAGGGACCCAGGCTTCCTGCAGCCGAGCCGTCCACGGCACCCACGTCTCCTTCTGGACGGGCTCTCCCTGACATGGTCAGACATCGGGTCTTGTCAAGGCCTCAGGTGAGATGGTGTGGTGCGAGTGGTTCCAGAACAGAGGTCAAAGTTCACCAGGCCATCACTTCCCCCCGAAGTGAATGGCAGGAAAAGGAATACAAGGTGGGACGGGCTCACACACACTTTGGAGAGTCCTGGGCGCAGGTGACAGCGTGGGGGCAGAGGTGGCTTCTGTCCCTGAGCTCACATCATAAAAACGACGCGTGTGAAACGCCCGAATCATCTGGCAATTTTACTTCTCTTCCTTGGTATTGCGTGTTACCTGATAGCAGAAGTTCAAAGGCAGCCTGACCCTATTTGGGCAAAAACACCAGCTGCTGGTACTACACGGCCCCCCAGCGAGCGGCCCAGAGCACAACAGGCGGTTCAGCAACAGGGGAAGCCCCGCCCCCTCGACGGCCCCGCCCACCAAGCCCACCGGTGTCCCCGGCCCCATGTGCCCCAGAGGTGTCTCAGGAGAGCCCAGGACAGGGATGAGGGCCTCGGGGCCAGGTGGGAGGCCAGCAGGTGCCCTCGGGCAGACCCTGTGCTGCAGAAGCCCCACGGGGACTGGCAGATAAGCCTCCTTGCTCCAGGTCACGCCTACACACGACACAGCTCAGAAGAGGAAGCCGCCTTGGCTTGTCCAGCCCCCTGTTCAGAGAGCGCCGGGCTGAGTACCGCCCCCACCCCCATCCCTGGGGAACCCGGGCACCCATCCTCTGAAACAAGTGGTCAGAACTGGATTTTGAAAATGAGACACACGGAATTCTGCAGGAAGGGGCAGCTTTGTGGGGGGACGGGGGGCAGGGCAGCAGGAAGATGCTCACCACCAGACACACCCAGGATGCCCGGCCGGGCGGGGCCTCCCCTCAGGCGGCAGCCCCAGGCAGCTCTTGCACCCTCTTGGCTTTGGGCTGGTGACTCACCCGCACCCAGGCGGCTCCCGCTGCAGACCAGGAGCTATGCTGCCCCCTGCTGTCCAGAGCCAACCCCAGCCTGAAGGACCAGTGTGGACACCACACCTGGATCTCGCCCGTGCCCAGCACCTCAGTGACCATCCTAAAATTGTTCTAAGGCCATGTGTTTTCACTTTGCCTTATCTGAAGGCAAAAAATCCTTCCAAGTGAGTCTGCTCGATCTGGGAGAGGACGGCAGAGACCACGCCTGCCCTGCCCCGTGCCTGCCCAGACCAGCCGGTGCTCTGCAGAGAGTGTGAGCCCAAGAAGGAGACGAGACACGTGCAGGTGTGTCAACTTTATGTTTGGACAGAACACACGGCACACACATCCCAGAGACACCTGGCGAGGCCTCAGCACACCCACCGAGGCTCAGCCGGGACAGGTGAGCAGAGTCACTGTGCGGGGACAGCCACTCTGGGCGCGGGAGCGGGGGGCCCCCGCGGGCTGGGCACGGGGGCTGCCACCTTCTGGCTCCTCTCTGCAGACAGGCGCTCCAGCCGCTCCGTGTAGAAGCCATTGAAGTCCAGCCTGTGGGGGAAGTGGGCAGGGTCCCTAGGGAGGCCTCAGTCACCCTGGCGACCCCCTTACCGCCCACGCGAGGCCCAGGGCACGCGAGTCACCAGCACACATGCACACACACCCACACAGGCGCCACCTGCTCCAGCACCAGTGACGGCAAAGCTTGAAGACACAAGAAAACACCCAAGTCAAAGGGGAGACGAGTGTCTCCTGCCCCGGGGCCCTGCAGCTCTCAGAACACTGGGTCCCAGGACATCAGGGCCCTCAGGCAGAACAGAGCAGTCCCAGCGTCTGGCTGAACCGGAGGCCACCCAACAGGAGCTTCTAGATCAAGGACTGCCCCTCCTCCCCAGACCTCACTCACGGAACCCCACATGAACGGGCCCACCACGTCCCTCTGAGGAGCGGAAACTGCCGGCCCAGAGCCGCAGACCCCGCTGCTTGGCCCACAGGCCCCCACTGCCTGGGCCTCGGGCCCCGTGCTCCATCCTCCCCATGGTCCTCCCTGCTGCCTGGGCCTCGGGCCCCATGCTCCATCCGCCCCATGGTCCTCCCCACTGCCTGGGCCTCGGGCCCCGTGCTCCATCCGCCCCATGGTCCTCCCTGCTGCCTGGGCCTCGGGCCCCGTGCTCCATCCGCCCCATGGTCCTCCCCACTGCCTGGGCCTCGGGCCCCGTGCTCCATCCTCCCCAGTCCTCCCCACTGCCTGGGCCTCGGGCCCCGTGCTCCATCCTCCCCACTGCCTGGGCCTCAGGCCCATGCTCCATCCTCCCCACGGGCCCCACCACTGCCTGGGCCTCGGGCCCCATGCTGTCCTCCACAGTCTCCCCACCTCCACTGCTTGGCCTATGGGCGCCCCCCGGATTCCACACTCCTGCTGCCATCACGCCTGCTACTCACTGCTTTTGGGGTCACAGGCAGCACACCCCAGGGGAGCACCGTCATGGCCCTGGAGGCGTGGCCAGCCTCACATGCCCACCATGGCAGGTGGGAGGGCACCACCCTGGCCCTGCCTGTGCTCCCAGCACCTCCTCACTGCCTGTCTGGGGACAGGGTGGTCCTTGTCTGGTCCTGGCTCAGGGCGCAGTTGCCAGTGCAGCTGACCCTAGCCTGGCCCTCGGAACACAGACCAACTGGGCTGGGGGAGGTGCTGACGCAGCAGCCTCATGCGTGCTGGCCCACATGTGCCCATGTGAGCACTCACGCGAACACACCCTAATGGATGTGCACACACACAGACGCGCACACACGTGTGAACACCCAGATGGCCTTCCTTCAGCAGGTGACGGGGATCAGCAGCAGCACACGGAGGCCAAGAACGTGGCCTCGGTCACAGCAGCTCTGGGGCGGGGGGCGCAGGGCAGTGCAAGGGCTCAGCGGGGCGGGGGCCCACCTGGAGATGACACTGGCCATGCCGTGCTCGCAGTCGCTGGTGCTGTAGACGCTCAGCCGGGCCAGGAGGTCGAGCAGGTGGGCTGAGAAATTCTTATCAAATTTATTGATGGTGGCCTCGAAGCTGGAGGCCAGCTGTGGCGCATCCACATGCTCAGCCAGGCACTGCAAGACACGGCGCCCAAAACAGTTGAAACCCCACTCCTCCTTTTAAACAGAAGAACGCATCTTAGAAAGTCACCAATAAAAGGTAAAAAGTTAGGGCATTGTACAAATTCCTGAGAGGGGAGGACCTAGGTGCATCCGGGCAGGTGGCCCTGCGTCCCCAGCACAGGGAGCCAGGAGCCAGGACGTGGACCGCGGGGCTTCCTCAGGGAGCTCAGATTTTCAAGCTGCCCCTCGGCAAGTGGGCAACCTGGAAGTGCCCACCTGGGTCACCTTACCCCACCCCACCCCATAGGACACACACCTGCACCTGGTCAGGTGCCCAACTCTGCCAACTAGACAGACTCTGCTCAAGGGCCACAGGGCCCAAGCTCTGTGCCCACCGGGCCGCAGGCCTGTGGGATCTCCCCACGGCCCGGCCTAACCACACAACCTTGGATGACACGGCCCTGCCCTGGGAAGCTGGGAATGGAGATTTTCCATGGCTTGTGTTTGGAATGTAATTTAAAGATAGTCTTTTTATCAATCAAAGGAAGACAGGAACGGAAGGATGTAGCAAGCTGGTTTCTAAGCGCCGTGACCCGAACACTGTGTCAACTCCGAGGTGAGAAAGGAGGGCCTCGGGGACGGCCACTCGGCACCACCCACCTTGCGGGCGAGCTCCTTGCGGGCGCGCTCCTCGGCCCGCTCGGCCTCCGTTGGAGGCCCCTGCATCGTGCCATGCTCCAGTGTCAGGCGGCCCAGCTCGCTGTCCAGTTTCATGCTCTGCGTGAATCTCTTGGGGATCGGGAAGAATGCTCATCAGCCACGACCAACCTCCGCGAGGAAACGCAGCCCCTGTGCGGCCAGGATGGGCTGCAGACTCGGATCGTGGCTCCCGCCCCACGCCCGCCCCCGCCCCACGCCCACCGTACGCCAAGTCCCGGCGGCACCTGCATGCAGTTGGTGAACATGACGCACACAGACATGAGCTTGGAGAAGACGCGCAGGAGCTCGGGGTTGGTCAGCATGCAGTCCTTCAGGCAGCTGTCCAGGAAGCTGGTGTGGTGCCCCAGCACATCATCGATGTTGGAGGCCTGCGTGGGAGG